GGGGTGAGAAGCCTCAGGGGCAGGCGAGCTGGTACTTTTCCAGGTGACTTGAGTATAGAATGGGGCAGTGAATGATGGTCCAGGAGCAGATGACTCATGGGCCTGCCACTGGAGATGGACATGTGTTCAGCTTTGTTGGAGAGGACATGGGCTCTGTGTGTCTTGTTGGGAGAGCTAACGTGGGCCCTTTAAGTCGCCTCAGCAGCCTGGGAGCTCTGTTATCTATCAGGGAGATGAAACAGGCCTGGGACTAGGCAGGCCCACCTACCTGGCTGTGGCCCCTTTTGCTGGGTAAGTTCTAAAGTGCAAATCTTGGGAGCAGTCTTGAATGAACACCCCACTAGGCAGGTCCAGATTGAGTGTCAAGGCCCAGGGGTCTGCACCAGAGATGAGGAGGAACCAGGCAAATAGGTGTGTGGTGGAGTCAGGCGATGTGATGAGCTCGCTGCGTGGTCCCTCTCCCGGCCTCAGGGTTAGAGAGCTTCCCAGAGGAAGCAGTGGCTAAAGGGTCGTGGTCAGTGTGAAGGGTGGAAATGCAGGGATGCAGCCTCGCACAATGGGAAAGCCGGTTGATGAGACCTGACCGTATCCTTCATGCATGAAGTGCTATGAGAGCCGGCAGGAGCCAGAGTCTGGGGACTTTTTGGGCAGGGTAGGTAGTTCAGACTTTGCCCCAAGGCAACCGTCTTCAGCTCTCAGAAATAAGACTTGCGTGGAGGTTAGGGTCTTGTAGTACCCTGTTGATGTTTTACTCTTGGGTGGGAGACCCCAAGCCATATTCCCTTGCTTTCTTGAGCTGGGCTTGTAGGACTGGGGGTGGCAGTGCATATTCATAATGTCAGTACTCAGGTGGCCAAGGTAAGAAGGTCTAGAGTTCAAAGCTAGCCTGTGCTTCGTAGTGAGACGGCCTCAATCAAAACAAACAAATCATTTGGAGTAGGAACTTTCAGCTCTCTAAGGGCTAGGAGAGCTTTCTAGCTGGTTCTTGCCTTCATTTCAGAGTTGACCCCTGTGACCCTGGACCAAGCTGGGCTCTTCGTCCCTGGTCTCTGTGACTTACGGCAGTCTTGTGTCTCAGATGAACAAATCGAATGGCCCAGGTGGCTGATGAGTAGCCCAGTCCCCTCTCAGTGGCCACTTTTCCCCTGCCCTGAAGGTCCCAGTAGATTCTCCTAGATGAAGCACTGCTTTAGAGTATAGTGACCATTAGCACCGAAAGCACCCCAAGGGCTTCCAGAACTTTCTCATGTGTCTGAAACCCACACATGGGTTCAGCACAGTTTCTTTTTCTTGGCGCACGCCCCCCCCCCCCCCTTCTGCAGAGACAGTGCTTTTTACCATAGAGCTCTCTGAGAGCCTCACTGGGCCCAGGCCACTGACAATGCTTTGTGTGCAGCGTAGGCAGACCTGCGGCTCTCTGGTCAGAGATTGGTTGCAGCAGAGAGGCTTCTAGAGGAAGGGACCGCGGAAGGGAACATGACGGTCGCATAGACTGACAAAGTGGTTGCTGTGTCTGGGCCCCTTGGTGGCTGCGGGTTTCCTCCTGCTGTGTTCTCGCAACCGTTGTCAGAGGCCCTGCAGCTGGTCCCAGGGGTGACCTGCCAGCAGGGGTTCCTCCTCACACCTTCATCTTGAACCTTGGGGATTTGGCCCATTGACTGGCAGCCCTTGGAGGAGGTGGCTTCCTTCTTCCTCACTGTGAGGAAGGTCAGGCTGACCGACACCTGAAGGGCTGAGGAGATGGAGGGCGTGACAGGAAAAACAGAGGAAGTGGCTCAGGCCTGTTAGAGTTGTGAGGGTGGGAGGTGCCTGGGTACTCTGGGAGGTGAAAGCCCCACAACAACAACCAAGACTGAGGTGCTTGTGTGAGAGAGCCTAGGCATAGGGTGGGCCAGTGTAGCCAGTACAGGCGTCATGACTCCAGCAGGTGGGCCTTAGACCTGCTGTCTCTCTGTGGTGAGGCCCCTCCCCTGCTTCTCTTAAGATTGAGGGTCTCAGCTGGCCGGTGATGGTGCATGCCTTTAATCACAGCACTTAGGAGGCAGAGGCAGGCAGATCTCAGTGAGTTTGAGGCCAGCTCGCTCTACAAAGCGAGTTCTAGGACAGCCAGGACTGTGACACAGAGAAACTCTGTCTCAAAAAACAAACAAGCCAAACAAGCCAACAAACAAAAAGATTGAGGATCTCAGTTATGTTTGAGGAGAGTCTAAGAGGGGTTACTGCCGTAGCTCAAATAGGAATAGGCGAGCACTGCCCAGAGCTAGTGAAGAAGCTGTCTGTATCCAGCAAGCCCTTGCCCTGGGCCCAAGGAAAGGTGAACATATGGGGCCTAAGATCAGAGGGGTGTGTGTTGAGGACTTCATCTTGAGTCTGACATGCCTGGCTTCAAGTCCTGGTGATGTAATCATGTGTGACCATAGGCAAATTACCTTTTTCCTGTAAGCCTTACCAGCTTACCTACAAAATGGGGGTTAAAATATCCATGCTTGATAACAGGAATTTTAAAAAATACAAAGTACTTTGGGCCCTCCTGGCACAGGTAGACCACATTATTTCTGTTTGGGCTACTTAGAGTTTGACTGCCTAGGTGGCCCTTCCCACTTCCCCATAGGTCCCTCTTCTCTTAGGCCTATGTCTGTGGCTCTCTTGCAGGGCAGAAAGGACCTTGCGGTAAAGATCTCTGCAACAAGAAGCTTATGGGGTGATTCTGTCTTTCCCCAAACCAACCCCTCCCGTAGTTTGTCCCTGTCTCTCCTGTTGTGGTATGCCGAACGGTGGGTTCTGCCTAGTGTGAAGGGTAGGAAGCAGGACAGAGCTGGTCTCACCTTCTGACTTATATCTCCCCTGCTACCCCACAGACCCATGAGCAAGAGCAACCAAACCCTGGAGCTCCCTCCACCTCACCCCTTCAAACCCTGCGCCAGGCACTGAATAGCCATTCCCCTGCCTAGGCCCCCCTCTGCACATGCACCCATGCCTGCCTGCCACGTGGACCTCCCCCTTTCCAGGCCCCCAAAGCCTGGCTCCCACAAATGAATGTGAGCCTCCCTGAGCTTGCAGCCCCCTCCGGGCACGTGGCCTGCTGGGCTGCCCTCTGACCTGTCTGTCTCCTCTGTTTCTTCCCCTCTCTCACATAGTCTTTCTTCCTCTCTCTTGCTGCAGACACACATTGTGTTTAGTTTGCCAGACTTGGGTCTCCCTCAGAGAGGTGGAACTCCTCAGTCCTACCCTTCAGCTTCGTGGAGGCCCCAGAGGGGGATTGTCCCTCTCTGGCTGGCATTTGGTTCTCTGCTCAAGAAAGGGGTTTTAAAAGCAATAGATAGTTTTCTTCAAAAAGCTTGTTACTCTGGCCCTCAGCTCTGAGTTCTTGTCCAAATTCTCCCCTTCCTCCTGGGTCTGGGGTGCCTCAGAGCCCTCTCTGTCCCTCCTTCCCTGAAATTTATAGCAAATGAAAACAAAAGAGGCGTCCAGGCTAGGGGCTCGCACTGTCTTCGGGGCCCCGGAGCCGAGGAAGGAAATGGAGGAGGAAGTTACGCCCCTTCTGGGTGCTGGGTGAAAGTGAAAGAGCAGGAGGGGGGCCTCCAGTGAGTCAGGCGACCGAGCTGGCTGGCAGGCCAGTCCGGGAGCCGGGGCTGCTGCGGAAACGTGCAGAGCAGCGATAGCGCCGTTTGTCTGGGAGGGGAGCCGTAGGTGTAGGCAGGGCTTCTTGTGGGCAGGGCTTGTGACGCCCGGTCTGTTCCCTGCTGGTTTTCTGGGAACTGCCCCACCTGCTAACGTGGTGTCTGTTGCTTTCAGAGTTTACCGGGATCTGCAGATTCGTCTTTGCCTGCCTCTAGCCTTCCTGAGAGACTCAAGGCCAGAGCCTTGGGAAAGAGGTGGGCTGCTCCCACCAATTTCCCAGGGAGAAAACAAACAAACAAATTAAAGAAACACAATTTTATCTGAAGAAAGAACAAAAACTTAACTATCTAGCAAGCTGCTATGCATGTTGTGAAATACAGGCCTGGATTCTGTTCTGTAGCAATGTCCATATAACAGTCGTCTTAAACATCAAGTTAGAGGAGTTTGGGGAGTCTGGTCTGGCTTATGTGTACAACATGTGCTTAACATATATGAAGCCCCCAGCCCAGCAACCCCATCCCTAAAATTATGGTAAAGCAGGAAAGCTGAGCACTTTACATCACGGGACATGTTGGGGCCTAAGTTCTAGAACTCTGCACCCTTTCTCTTTGAGTTCGATTCAGCTTTAGCCAGCCGCTCTTGAACAGTGGAGGGGAAGGAGGTGGCAGCCGCCCTGCAGCTGCTGCTGACCAGCCACTAGACTAAATTGGGCCCCCAGCCAGCCAGGGTTGCAAAACAGGTTCTGTGCTAGTTTGAGAAAGACTCTGGCAGCCAGAGCCCCACCCTGCAGCTCTTCCCAGGGGTGGGGCCTCACCTACATGCCTCAGCATAAAAGGCTGCAGGCCTAACTCTGTCTGGGTCCTAGGCTTTGCAAGAGCCTGGTGTAGCTACAAAGGATGGGTGGCCATACTGGGAATAAATAGTCCCTGTCCCCTAACGTCCTTTGTCTTCCAGTGGAGTGGTGGCTGTGGCGGTGGCCTGTGGGTCAGGGGCTTTTGTGTAGACAGATGTGTAAGGAGGACCAGACCCGGCCTGCCCAGTGCCGGAACCAACTTTAATAGGACAAGGGTCTTCACCTGTCCTCTGTTTTCCCTTTTCTCGGTTTGCCTTGGGGCTTAGACTGCAGGGCAGCTCCACTTGGCCCCTCAGCATGAGTCTTTTTACAGAGCACAAATTACACACTCAAGTGCCCCACACCTGGAGTCTAGCCAGAGGTGGTGGGACAGGGGAGAGTGACAGTGACAGAGGCTGCTGTTCCTGCTGCCTTCCCGCAGTGTCCCCCTGGTTCCTGGCCCCCGTGTGACCTGAGGCAGGGGGACACTGCTGCTGATCCCCAGGGATCCTGTGGCTAATGGCTCTCACCCCTTCTTCCTCCTCAGGCTCCAGGATCTGGTGCAGCAACATGATTGGGGACATGTAGGCGAGCCCAAGAACCGCTCCAGAAGAGGAAGGACCTGCGGACATTACTTGGCTCCTGTGTTTTCCTCTGCCCCTCTTCTGCCCTCACTGGCTACCGGCCTGGGACTGTGGCCAGTCTTCCAGCAGGACCTTCTCCCGAGGGATGGGCAGCTGCTGAAGGACGTCTCTGCCAGGGCTTAGTTGGCCACACCATGAACCTCCAGGCCCAGCCCAAGGCTCAGAATAAGCGCAAGCGTTGCCCTTTTGGGGACCAGGACCCAGCTTCCAAGGAACAGCCACCACCGCTGAAGGCTCCACCACCGTCCCTCAGAGCGAAGGAGGAACAGTACGAGGCCCACGAAGGCCCAGCAGGGGTTGCCTCCACCACCCAGCCTGTGGAGCTGTCTCCTTCCAACAACCTGGCTCTGCTGAACTCTGTGGTATATGGGTCTGAGCGAACCACAGCAGCCATGTTGTCCCAGCAAGCTCAAGTAGGCTCAGTGAAGTGGCCCAACTCTGTGATGGCTCCGGGGCGGGGCCTGGAGCGCTCAGGAGGTGGAGGCATTAGTGACAGTGGCTGGCAGCAACAACCTGGCCAGCCTCCACCCCATGCCGCGTGGAACCACCTGTCCCTCTACAGTGGGCCCAAAGGGAGCCCTCATCCAGGCGTAGGGGTCTCCCCCTACTATAACCACCCCGAGGCACTGAAGGGGAACAAACCTGGGGGTCCACAGCTGGATCACTATGGAAATGCAGTGCAGCCCATGGTGCCCCAGAAGATGCAGCTGGACGTGGGGAGGCCCCAGGCACCCTTGAACTCTTTCCATGCAGCCAAGAAACCCCCAAACCAGACACTGCCCTTGCAACCCTTTCAACTGGCATTTGGCCACCAGATGAACCGCCAGGTCTTCCGACAGGGCCCGCAGCCCTCTAACCCCACCTCCTTCCCGCCTCAGAAGCAGCAACAGCAGCAGCAGCCGGCAGCCCTGCCCCAGATGCAGCTATTTGAGAACTATTACTCCATGCATCAGCCGCCTTCCCAGCAACCCCAGGACTTTGGCCTGGCACCGGGTGGGCCACTGGGACAGACCCACCTGGCTCATCACAGCATGGCCCCCTACCCCTTTCCTCACAATCCAGATATGAACCCCGAACTACGCAAGGCCCTCCTGCAGGACTCCGCCCCACAGCCTGTGCTACCTCAGCCCCAGATGGCCTTCCCACGGCGCTCCCGCCGTCTCTCCAAGGAGGGGATTCTGCCTTCCAACTCCCTCGATGGAGCTGGCACCCAACCTGGGCAGGAGCCCACAGGCAATCTGTTTCTTCATCACTGGCCTCTTCAGCAGCCACCACCGGGCTCCCTGGGGCAGCCCCATTCTGAAGCCCTGGGATTCTCATTAGAACTAAGGGAGTCTCAGATGCTGGCTGATGGGGAGAGACTGGCACCCAACGGTCGGGAGCGGGAGGCTCCTCCCATGGGTAATGAGGAGGTCATGAGGGCAGGGGGCCTAGGAGACTGTGGACAGATGATGCGAGGTGGGGTGATCCAGAGCACAAGACGGAGGCGCAGGGCGTCCCAGGAGGCTAATTTGTTGACACTGGCCCAGAAGGCGGTGGAGCTGGCCTCACTGCAGGTGAGAATGAGAGCTGCACCTGGCATCGGGCAGGGCGTGGGGTGGAGTGGGAAATAAACGATACTAGACTTATTGGGCAGTTTTTTCAGCTATTCAAAGGAAGCGAACGTTCTGCATTCAGAAAACTTCTGCAGGGAACACCCGTACCTGCAGGGATGCTGAACTTTCTACACAGGGAGGTTGATGGACAGGAAAGTCCTTATTGGCTTCTTCACATGAAACGTGAGGATTGGGAGTAGGGGGTGCCGAGAGCCAGTATCCTAAGTTTCAAGGATGTGCAGGTGGTTACAGAGATGATGCATGTCAAAATCATTAAGTGGGACCTAAAGTAGGTTTGTTTGGTTGTCTATAAATCACATTGCAATAAAAGTCATTTTTTTAAAGGGAGGAAAACCAAACAGAATTTGAGCACTTGTGTTACCTTGGGGTTTCGGTTTTAATTTTATACTTGCTCAGCTGTAACGTCTCATCAAACACAACAGCAAGGGTAGATCTCCTGTCCCAGGTTCCTGTAAAGAAGTTGAGCCAGCTGGGAACTCGCAGGACTGTGTAGTCTGCATAGACACCTTGTATTTGACCAGTATTTACTCTTTTCTTCCTTAGAAGTTGCAGCTAATATTGCCTTTAGGTCCAGGTAGACACACAGGGGGCTGCAGAGTTTTAGGGTCTTCCCTCCAGTCAGATAGCCGTGAGAAAAGAGCTCCAGAGACCCCCCTTCAGCTTGCCACAGCAAGGCCCTTTCTTGTGTGTCACACCCTGTACACTGGATGCTAAGCAACTGAAGCTATTTGTGGGCTGAAATGACCCCTTGGATTCACCTGCTTCAGGCCAGGGTGGCACAGCCAGGCAGAAGGGGACTGTGGAGAGTATCCGAAATGTCGAGGAAGAGGGGTGTAACATGAGGGCTGGCTTGTTGGGGTTTCTGTCCTTCCCAGTACCCCAACAGCCGGCAAGCAACAAAGAAAAATTACACACAGGACTCCATAAGGTTATAAACTGATTGGCCCATTAGGTCAGGCTTCTTGTTAACTCTTATAACATATATTACCCCATTATCCTTATCTATGTTAGCCACATGGGCTCAGTACCTTTCTCAGTGTGACAGCTTACATGTTGCCTCTTCGGTGGTCTCCGCAGGAGTGGCTGAGGGCTTCCTGTGTCCCAGAATACTCCCAGTCTCTTTACTTCACTTCTACTTCCTGTCTGGCTTTCCCGCCTATACTGCCTGCCTGGCCAATCAGCGTTTTATTAAAATATGATTGACAGAATACAGACAATTCTCCCGCACCATTTCCCTCTTTTTTTTTTTTAAACAAAGGAAAATACCCATAGTCCATTTGTTGGGAATGTGGGCGTAGTATTTCAGGCTACTTCCTGCTGGTTGGGGGCGCTGATGATCTTATGGGGACCTAAAGAAAACTTAGAGTTATCATCAAGTCCTGACTAGAGTATCCTGTGAGTCTTGATCATCTCAGGCAGCAGTCTTGAACCTGTTCTGGATGAAGAACTCAGACATCTGGGTCATCTATTCCTGTCGGAGATTTTTCAGGTGGCCTCCCTTGGTCAAAGGTGATTTTTCTTAACTCTGAATAAATCCAGAGCCTCTCGTTTTCTGTGGAAACAAAAGCAAAATCTCTTCTCCAAAGTAGCATACCTTTTGACTTCAGTTTTGAAGCCAAGGTATTTTCAAAATACCTATCTTGGATTAATTTAGCAGCATTTATAAGCAAATATCTTTTAGCAGCTGTTGCTCCTTTCTCAGCATTCAAACAATTCGAAGAGAGCATAATAACACACAGTATCAAGATTCTCTGTGTATTTTCCATCTTTATGCGGCTTTATTTCAACCTCTATTTCTTTTATTTTTACTTTTAACTTTTGGCTTTTGAGACAGGTTCTCTGTATATATCTTTGTCCTGGAATAACTCTGTAGACCAGGCAATCCTTGAACTCACAGAGATCCTTCTGTCTCTGCCTCCCCAGAGCTGGGATTAAAGGTGTGTGCTACCACACCTTGAGGTCACAGAGGTCAATCTACCTCTGCCCCTTGAAGTCACAGAGGTCAATATGCCTCTGCCTCCCAGGCATTGGGATTAATGGTGTGTACCACCACACCCTATTTCTCCCTTTCTTTCTTTTTTTATTTTTAATGACTTTAACCTTTAGCCTGCATATATTTTTAACACACTGTAAACCAGTTAGAGGTTTTTTTTTCTCTTTGAATCTCTCTTGACTGTATATCTCTCTTTTTCTGACTACATAAGCCTTTAATTTACTAAGCAATATGGAGAGTCATGGCTTTGACGGCTAGATCCATCCCATTTCTTAGCTTTTCAGCCCCCTGGCTGAGATACCAGCCAGAGCTGTGTTCACTGCCACAACTCTATGGTGTTTCAAGGTCCTTGCTAGCAAGCAAGCTGCAGCATTCTGCTCACAGACCACACTCAGTTGGACTGCCTGCCTGAAAGAGTCAGAGTTTGCTCTGGCAGGACAGCCCAGATAGCCGGCATTTTAAAACAGCACAGCTTTTCTCCTGCTACAGCTGAAAACTGAAAAGAATGCGTTCAGCTTGTCATCAACAACATTTAAGTATTTTGTGGCAGGACCTCTTTAAAGAGCTGCAAGGTTTTGCAGCTAAAGCTGAGTCAGGAAGCCTCTCTCAGATGAGAGCGCTTGCTTGCCTCTAGCAAGCAAAGTAGACCTGAGAAATTGCTGCCACCAAGAAGCCATGCTTTACTCTATTCTTTTCTAAGCTTTCTCAAGGCTTTCTGTGGATTCAGTTATTCACGTCTGGGCGCCATATGTAACATGAGGGCTGGCTTGTTGGGGTTTCTGTCCTTCCCAGTACC